CCTAACAGCTAACAGCTAATAGAAGCAAAACACTACCTAACAGCTAAAAGAAGCAGAACACCAACTAATAGCTAATAGAAACAAGACACTAGCTAACAGCTAAAAAAAGCAGAACACTAGCTAACAGTTAATAAAAGAACACTAGCTAAAAGCTAAAATAATCAAAAAACTAGCTAAAAGAAGCATAACCCTAGCTAAAAGCTAAAAGAAGTGAATCGCTAGCTAAAAAAAATAGAATACTGACTAAAGTCTGAAAGAAGCAGAGCATGAGCTAAAAGCCAAAATGGGAAAATGGTTATTAAGAAGCTTAAAGTAGCTAACATGCTGATTTCTGTTTCAAATGTTTGAACTTTTCTAACATGAGCCTGCATACGATCATCTGGTAAAAGTTCAGCTGTTTAGTTTCTTTGATGACATCACTCCTAGCAGACACGGCATCTCGCAGACGAATATCAACAGGCCAACCACCCCCCCACCCCGTGTTCCTTATTTCAGTTTGTGAAAGTTGACACCCAGAATGAAAGGGAGTGTTTACTTTAGTTCACGTGTTCAGTTCGGTCTACCCTCAGGTTTTTCCAGAATAAGTCTCGTTGAAAAGCTGAGCTGTGTTTGTGCTCCTGTTGAATACGACTCTTTGTGTGTCCTGCCCTGGGAGCAGGCTTTTCCCAGTTCTCCCAGGAAACGGACGGATAACCCAGGATGACCTGGTGGTCGGTGGATACTTCATCCCTAAAGGGGTAAGGCCCATAAACGTTTTATGTTCTGGAAACAAAAGAAGGTTCAGTGAGTCAGCCAAAAACGGTCCAGTGGAACCAGATATAACGTGATCCGGCTTTTTGTTCCGACCTGAATGAACTCATGAACAATAACCCAGCTGTTTCCTCCAGACCCAGCTGGCTCTGTGCCACTACTCCACATCCAGGGACGAAAAGAACTTCCCCAATGCCTCCGACTTTCAGCCCGACCGCTGGGTACGAAAAGACTCCGCGGACCGCGTCGACACCTTCGGCTCAATTCCCTTCGGTTACGGCATCAGGAGCTGCATCGGCAGGAGAATCGCGGAGCTGGAGATGCATCTAGCTCTCACAAGGGTATGTCGTAGTTGCTCATTGGGATTACTTTTATTGAAATTTACAAACATTTATCGTGAAATTTAAATCGACAACTGAACAACTGTTGGAGTTGAACCAATTCAAGGTGGCTGCCACGGCTAATTAACCCTAGCAATTACAAAAAAATGGTTGTAACCTGGTAATTTTTGTGGATATATAGCTAAAATTTCAATTATTAAAGGCATAAAAGGCACCCTAACCTATTGTGTACAGGTGTTTTATTATAATTCTTTGTAGCCGATTGTGTTTTATAACCAGTTTACCTGATTTATTCAAATAAGAGTTGTTTTCTAAAATATATTTTTCTCATTACAGATCCATTTTTGGCCTTGTGCTTCTTAAAAAAAAGCCATCAAATTTAGAATTGCTATTTAAAAGGAGCATTCTCATCAATATTAATAAAGATAGATGATTTGATTCCTTCGTTAACACCTGTTGTTCAAAACTGAAGCCAAACCTTTTGCCAGGTGCTGTGTTGTTTTTGGAGCCAGAGTCTGTGCGTTAGGGTCATGGGGCTGTACCCTCGAGACAAAAGTCCCGCCTACCTGCAAACCCAATTCGCTAACAAGCTGTCAATCACATTATAATGTAACACTTTTCTTTAAAACTAAAATAACTATTAAAAACTTGATTTAAAAATCTAAATTTAGAAGCATAACAGGAAGGTCAAAATCATGAGAATTGACGCCTGAAAAAGTATATGAAGTGTATTTTTATTTTTAGTTAAATAAAAAGTCCTATTAGTTTACATGATAGGGGTGGGGCTTAATAGTTATACTGGAGTCATCCACTAGAGGGCGCCATCCTTTGTAGCTTCTGGTCCTCTCTGATTATAAAATATGGACTTTCCTTGGAGTAATGCATATTGCCCGCTTTGCCTTACAGGTTCAAACAATGACCTGACGATTAGAGGACGTGTTGAGAATGACTCTCGGCTACTACCAAACCAAATATTACCTCACAATCTGTAAACCTGACTGAGTCATAGACATTTTGGTGTCTACTAAGGTCAATAAACTGTGGCAGCCATTTTGAATTAAGGTCACACGAAAAGTTAGTTGTAGGTGTCCATTCAGTGGTTAGTTTCTTAGTAAAAAAATGTCTAGTGGTCTGAGATATTTTGCTAACAGACAGGGTTGAATTCTCCAAGTAAAGCCAGAATTTCAATTCGTTCGTGCTCACAGTATGTGTTGGAGATAATTCAGTTTTCTCTTTTTAACTCCGTATTAGTTACAGATAAATGCAGCGAAACACAAGCTAGAAGCTAAAAGTAGAACAAAGATGAACTATTCAGTAAACATAGCAAAAGACTAGCTAAAAGCTAAAATTAGCACAACACAAACCACAAAATAAATACAGTAAAGGAAAGTAACAAAATATCTGACCATTGATTTGTTTGTTCTTTAACTATGGATCATTGTCAGCTACAACCACATTCAGTTTTAGCTCAGTATTTGTAAAAGCTAAAAGCAGCCAAATGCTGGCTTAAAGCTAAAATTCGCTAAATGTTGGTTAAAATAGTATACAATAAAATAAAACTAGCTAAAATTACCAAAACAAAAGTGAAAACTCACAAAAGGATAAAATTTAAAAGTAGAAATACAAAATCTTAAAGTAGCAAAACACCAGCTAAAAGCTAATAAGAGGCTATTAAAATCTAAAAATAGCACAACTTTGACTACAAGCTAACAATAGCAAAAATTCTAAGTAAAGGCAGAAAGTAGTAAACGCAAGCTAAAAGTCTAAAAGTAGAAAAAAACTAGCAAAACATTAAAGTGACAAATAATAGTTAGAAGCTACCAGTAGCAAAACACAAGCTAAAAACAAGCTAGAAGCTAAACATACCAACAAGTTAAAAACACCCAAACAGTAGCTGAAATGTAATAGTAGCAAAAGATCTTGAAGTTGTTTCTGTTAAGAATGACTCTCAGCTACTACTACACCAGCTTTTAGCTCTTTATCTATAAAAATGTCTGATTTGACCAATTTTGGTGTTTGCTAAAGTTTTAAAGCTGTGGCGGCCATCTTGAATTGGACTGACTCTTAAGGAGTTATGGATGTACATCCACCGACTTTAAGAGATTAAAATCTGTTCAGTGGTTGATGTGATATTTTGCTAACAGGCAGACAAACGAGCACACGTGAGCCCACAGTCCCTTTTTTTAAAACCTCAAAGCATGTGAGCATTCTGTCTTCTGTGTGAAACCAAAAGCACCGTATCACAGCTAACACCAGACTTTTGTTCTGACTCCGTGTGCAGCTCATCCAGAGGTTCCACATCGCAGAGTCTCCTCTCACGACTGAAGCTAAAGCTAAAACCCATGGCTTGCTCTGCCCTGCCACCCCCGTCCACCTGCAGTTCACCCCACGAGCCAGCTAGATCCGTCTCCAGAGGTTCTGCTTCACTGGATCCACGCCAAGGTGCTGCATGAAGTGCACAGAAATGCCTCTTTTACTCAGACAAGCAGAGTCCCAGCTGTTTGTCTGGACACAAAAACTGTAAATAATAAGCTGTAAACAAACACTGTTTTATTGTTTGTCTGTTGAACTGGCAAGAACCACTGCAGCTTTTTTGTAATGGTAACTTCTTTTATCCTCCCTATTTATACTGAACACAAATACAAAGCTACATTTTCATTTATGCTGTTTTTCATGAGCTGGACTCAAAAAGATCCAAGTGTACAAAAGGCCTTTTTCTCTTGAATATTTAAAAGTGCATTCCCCCTCAAAACTTGTGACATCTGTGGCATTGTGCTGTGATTAAACTGCACATTTTAGAGTGGCCTTTTATTGTGGTCAGCCTAAGGCACACCTGTGCAACAATCATGCTGTCTAATCAGCATCTTCCTGTGAGGTGGATGGATTATCTCGGCAAAAAAGTGCTCACTAACAGATTTACACACATTTGTAAACAATATTGGAGAGAAAAAGGCCTTTTGTGCACATAGAAAATATCTTAGATCTTTGAGTTCAGCTCATGAAAAATGGGAGCAAAAACAAAATGTGTTTTTATTTCTGCTCAGTGTCATTAGAGGAAAATACAACATTGTAGTCGTGTGCATGTTTCTGCAAACAAATGCACGGTGAAATCACATTGTCCTTGTGAATAAGCGATGAGCTTAATTTAGTGATCATGTTGTCTCTAAATACCCTTTTTTAAAGCACAATTACATGAATTTAAACCATGAACTGTACGGCTCTAACAACACAAAGTCTCTGCAGTGGAAGAGGAAACTACTGAAATATGTTCATGCAAACTTATGGCAGTAGGAAAATGGTTTTTAACACTTTAAAGAGCATTTTAACAAGTTTGAAATGTCCCGTTTTGCTTTTAATTAACCACTGATTAAACGTGAACGTGTTTGGTTACAGATGGTGTTGAGCATTTTTGTTTTTGTGCTGCTTGTGTGAAATTATTTCAGCAGCAGATTGGTTTGTTGTGTTTTTAGTGAAGGGAAAATGTTGAGGTTGTTGAAAAAGGTCAAATGGAAACTGTAAAAAAAGGGAGAATTGGGCTTACAGAAAGGAAACTTTTAGTTTTTTTTTAATCAACTCTTTTGTCTCTAGTGTTGTCTTTTGTAGTTCCAGTGAAACTGGGGAATAATAAAAGTATGATTTTACATTCAAGATGCTGTGTGGTCATTAATTAAAATATATTAAAAGTAGCTTTTCTTGAATGCAGACCAGGTTTCAGGCAATCAGGTGGTCTGAGCACCACATCCAATCTCAATCCAAAATCTGTAAAAACATTTTTTTCACAACTTTAGACATTTTTGTCACAATTTCACATCTGTTGACGTTCCTTCAACTAAACTTTAAAATACTTTTAGTTCATTATTGTTAAACTTCAGGTAAAAGTACTAAAAATGTACAACGTTGGCAGAAAACAAAGAAACTCCTTTTTTTTAAAAACTGATTTATGCTAAAATTCTTTATTGATGCTGCAAAAACATTAACACATATAAAAAATATCTACAGAAACTAGTTTTAAACTTGAAAACTTTTTTTTTTTTTTTAAACTTAACATTGGAAATCTTAGTATCATAGTCTCATTTTAAAGGTATTTAAAAATTATAGATGTACGTAAATGGTAAATGGAAATGGGAAGACCCAAAGTTTTATTTTGATATGAGGCTTGTTTTCTTGAGATCGCAAGTTAACCCAGATATTAACTTAAAACGATTCTCTAACATTTCAGAAACACAAACAAAAGTAATCAAAAAGGTACATTAAGAAACATTTGTGACTGGTGCTGCGTCACTCGTGAATATTTTCTCTGGCATGACAGTGAGTGACAAATAATCTGAGAAAAATAACCTCCAAAACTTATGAGATAAAACCTGATTCGGTTCCGATACGGTACATGTTGCAATTTAACAAAACAAAAAGGAAAAATCTGTTTATTTTTTTCAAATGATCTATTTTAAGCAAAACACTAAGTACAAGTAGCAAAACAGTTGCTGGAAGCTGTGAAAGGCTAATTAAAAACAGCACAAAACTAGCTAAAAGCTAAACATAACAAAGCTAGTAAGGTAGCGCAAGACTAGCTTGAAGTTATAGTTAGTGACATATCAACTAAATGTTGCGACATTGGAGTAGCAAAAGGCAAGCTAGTTAAAGTAAGTAAAGCCTATATCAAGAAGCAAAACACATATAAGTAGCAAAATGCAAGCTAGATGTTAAAAGTTAAAAATGACTAACTAAAAGTAGCAAAACACCAGTGAGCTAATAAAACTATCTAAGGTTGCAAAAGTCCAAATAGAAGCTAAAAGACGCAAAATGCAAGCTAAAAGCAGAAATACAGTAGCTAAAAGTAAAAGGCTGGTTATAGAAAGCAAAATACTAGCTAAAAGAAACAAAAGGCAAGCTAGAGGTGTAACCGAATCTGGCAAAAGGGCCTTCTTTCCTTCCACTTCTTTTATTTACTTTTCATTTTATACTTTCATATGATTGTTTGTTGTTATTTGTATCTCATCTGTGTTCTTTGTTTAAAACAGGTCTCTCTTGTAAATGAGTCCTCATGACTCAAAGAGACTTTAACCTATTTATATAATAGCTGAATAAATGAAAACTTAGCAAAAGGCTAACTTAAAGCTAAAAGAAATAACACTAGCTAAAAGTAACAAAGCAAGCTAAAGGTGGCAAAAGGCTAGTTGGAAGCAAAATGCTAACCAATGGCAGCTAAATACCGACTGAAGAAGCAACAGGCAAGCAGAAGTTAAAAGTACCAAAAAACTTAAACAAAAATGTTAATTAAAAGCTAAAATAATAAAAGGCTAGTTAAAGGTAGCAAAATGCAAACTAGAAGCTAAAAATAGCAAAAGGTCAGCTTAAACCAGCAAAACAAACTAGTTAAATGAAGCAGATACGCTAGATAAAATTAAACGTTTAAAGTAGAAAAACTTGAGTGCTTTCTGTTTTTTATTTTATTTTTCAGACTTAACCTGTGTCTCTAACAAAGTTAAGTCAGGTCCTCTGGATGATTAAAAAAAAAAAAAAAAAAGTTGAAATATTTCATGAATCACTGAAATCACCGAATCACTGTATTTCAAGTCAAAGTCACTTTATTGTCAAAACTGCAATATGTACAGGACATACACAGGATTAAAATTACATTACTCTCAGACCCCTGGTGCAACAATAACCATTTAACATTAAAACATTTAATAAACATAAGCATAAAATGAAATAATAAAAGTATGATACTGTCTTAAATTGTAGTACAGCGGTATAATAATTAAAAAAAAAGTATATCTATAAAATAAAATAAAATGAAGTGAAGGTCCTGACATTGACATTTGTAGTAAGTGGCAAAGCAGCATATGAAGTGAATGTACACAGTATATGTATACAGTCCTTGATATTGGTATAGGTAAAGTGACATATGCAACAAGGCTAGTAAAAAATATATATCAACAGTAGTGTAATATAAACAGTTGTATTAATATAAACAGTAGTATGACTATAAACAGTAGTTTGAATATGAACAGTAGTATGAATATGAACAGTAGTATGAATATAAACAGTAGTGCAAATTAAAATGTATTTCAGTGATTTGTGAAATATTTCAACAATTAAAATAAATGAATAAATTTAATCCATCCAGAGACTTGGATCATTGAGCATGAATTAGGATATTTTTAACATGTCTGATAAATAGTTGTTTTCTTTTGTTATTCTTAAAATAATTTTCACAAACATAATTTTAATTAAAATGTCTCCACCCTCCCTCTGTGCCACCCTGTCACTTTTAGTGTTCCTTATTTTAACTTCTGAAAGTTGTCAACTCCAATATGATCGATAACAAACGTACCTTGATGGTTCAAACTCCGCTGAACTTTATTGAAAAAAAAGATTAACACTGCGGACAAATTTTTGTCTCGCGATAATTCGCGACATTTCGCAACGAGAGCACAAACGGAAGTAAATACTCTAAGACGAGGCAGCCTCTAAAACGTGGATGCTGCTCGATTTTAATAAAATAAAATCAGTCTCTAATTTCAAAGTTAGTTATTTTAATGTGGATAAATAGCATTCGCGATCCAGGCATTTCGATATTAAATACAAGGTTGGGGGAATCGCATCGTGCGTATTTTGGCCTGGAAAGACTAATGCTAAGCTAACGCGTTCTCGCGGCTAACGGCACTTTTAGTATCGGCGCGGTGCGCAGCAGCAGAACGCCAAATCCGAGGCGAAAAGTTTTGCTGGTTCGTGACGGTTTTTCGTTGATTTTGAGACGTAGCATCGACTCAGCTAGCCTCGACTTTGGCCGTGGTGCAGGAGGTTGGGCTGAGTTTAAGATGATCATTGAAAACCTCGAAGCTTTGAAAACATGGCTGTATGAAACCCTCGAGCCCATGTAAGTGCGGTTAGCATTAGCAACACACCTCCCAGCATTCATTTAATCAGTCTGAAGTATGCTAGACGTAAACATTTCAGCATGATGATTGTTAACCAACTGCCTCTTTCTAAATGTACCTGCGTATTTTTCTGTGTATTACAAACAGTGCTAGTTTATTAGCAATTCAACGGCTGTTGTGAGGTTCTTGTGTTTTGTTTTTGCGTTCAGATGTGATGCTGACCCTTCTGCCCTCGCCAAGTATGTTGTTGCTCTGGTGAAGAAGGACAAAAGCGAAAAGGAACTGAAAGCCCTTTGTATTGACCAGCTGGATGTCTTTCTCCAAAAAGGTAAACACACAAGCTTTATTTTGTGCACTTATTATTATGATTATTATTTTAGTATAGCATATTGATCCATAAATGAAATAATCTCGATTCATACTTTGAACTCCTTTCAGATACCCAGCCGTTTGTGGATAGGCTGTTCGAAGCCATTAACAACAAAAGTTACCTCCCGCAGCCGGAGCAACCAGTGGTCAAAGCTGAGAAAGAGGAGCAAAAGAACGATGAGGTTATCATTGCATCCCACTGATTTTGTTTAGATTAAGCGCTTGTATAGACAAACAGCATGGGGCCTTATAGTTCACTGGGCATGTGCTACTCCGCCAGTCTTAATGCAAACAATTGTCTGAATGAGCACTTTGGTCACTGACTTTGTGAAAGTCAATCAGAGTAGGTTGTACGAATCATTTACAGTGCAATAGTTCATCGCCTTTCACTCATCTGGACAGCATGCAGTGCCAACAATAGGTTAGGATAGGAGATATTGTTTGAATTATGATCTACTTTTGTAGAGAATTTCCACAGATAATGACATTAACCTTCCTGCTGCTCTTGGATCAAACTGACCCACATGCCCGTAGTCGTTCAACTGAGGCCTTGTGGGTCACTTTGATCAAATGGCAGTAGGAGAGTTTAATGAAGAAATGATGCTCATAAACGCTTTTGTTGTTTTAGCTTTGTGTGTTTGTGTGTGGGTGGGTGTTGTTAGATGTTAGATGCATAATTTCCCTTTGACTGGACTTGCGTAGCGCTAGGTTAGAGCAAAAACCACCCCTCCCCCCTCTACAGGTGCTTTTATGTACCTTTTTCATTCCCTTGTGAGTTTGCAAGTATGGACTTCACTCAAGAGTCGTTGCAGGCGTCACAAACTTCTCAGTTTAGCTTCTAGAGCAGGATTTTGTCACTGGTACAGGACCTGTCTGACAGAAAACATCAAATTCCATGTCTAAAACCCGTGTTTATGAAGGCTTGTACATGAAAACGTGCCCAAATCTGTCTACATTTAATGCGCTCCAGTAGATTTAAATCACAAACGTGATGGCAGCTGCCATGGTGGGTACACTGTGGGCGGAGGTGGACAACAAAATCACGTGCACAACTTTTAATTTGGGTTTGTAAGCTGTGCACACAAAAACAGGAAGTGATTTTTGAAAATTGGCTGCACAGCACGAGGCCTCGCAGCTCGCTTGTTGCTTGCTCTTGAACTTTCAGATGTCTGTGAGACCACAGCTGATTACTTGTATTTGGCCTTTTTTTGTGGGGGGGTGGGGTGGAGGCAATTTTTAGTCACCAGTATGTCTCCCAATATTCTCAGCCTGGTGAGATACTACCGTGTCATATTTTGCCTCATTGCGTGATTCAGTCTCCTTTTTGAATGTCAACATGCACGTAAAAGGTCCTCCCTTCACTTTACTTCATGTCTGAATGAAGCTGTGAGCAACATGAATGTAAAAATAACTTGTATCTACCCCCCAAACAAGATTAACTATAGAAACTGAAAGCTTCAGAAGAAGCTGAAAAGGTTTCATCTCTGAATTGTTGATGCAAGTTGAATTTGAACAGCTGCAGCGTAAAGCAGAAGAAATGTGTATAAAAAGCTGAAATGGGTGGACAGAGGCTGAATAGATTACAAAATATATGGTTTTTTTTTTTCAAAGTAGCTGAAAATTATTTTAGCAAGGCTGAAATTAACAGGAAGAGGCTAAAAAGACTTTTTTTTTTGTTTGTTTTTCCTTCTTTCGGCTGCTCCCTTCAGTGAGTTAATTTGCACAAAGACTTGGCAATTGTTTTTATGCTGGATGCCCTTCCTGACGCAACCACCAAGCTACCACAGCCCTCGGTGTGGAGCAGAGAGCTGTCATCTACAGCGCACAGGGGAGCAGATGGTGGGGGTTAAGGGCCTTGCTCAAGGACCCAGAGTGGGGCAAATGAGGGTGGAGACAAGTGTGGGTGCTTCACCTACAACCATAAAAAGTTTAAGTTAGAGAGAAGCGCAAAAAGAGGAAACTGGCAAAACATTATAAAAAGGCTAAGATGAGCAGATAGAAGCTAAAAGAAGCTGACAGAAGCTCAAATTAGCTGAAATGAGCAGTAAAAGGTTGTAAACAGCTCAAAAGGGATTGAAGGACGCCAAGAGCTACATTAGTTTTCAATGAGAAAAACAGCTAAATATTTCTAAAGTAAAAAATTGCAAATGAACCAGAAGTCCCAGCAGGAATGTCCTGAATGAGCCGAACGTTTTGAGATGTGAATTGTTGAAAAGGAGCAGAAACTGCTCGAGTTTCGAAAAACGTGGCAAAGAAAAATGGATCTCTGTAGTGAGGATGATTTCTAAACATTCACACAATTAACAAATTATTTTTATGTCTGACAATGGATTTTGATAGAATTTTAAATCACTCATCAGTTTTTTTTTTCTGTTTTTGTAAAGGTTCAGCCAAATCGAGAAGAAGAACGGGACAAAAAGTTTTCTCGGCGAGTGACTCACAGCCCTCCACCTTCGACCTCTCGCTACAGTAGAGACAGCAGGTGCTGAAACTACCGTATAGCTATCGTAGTCTTAACATCTAAACGTTGAAGTACTTACACTCCGTGCTTTGTCTCTGTTTGCATTCTCAGAAGAGGAGATGACCGTAAAAGAGACGACCGCTCGAGGAAGAGAGACTACGACCGCCTCCCACCAAGGAGGGACTCGTACCGCGACCGCTACAATCGCCGAAGAGGCCGAAGCTACAGCCACAGCCGCAGTCGCAGCCGAAGCTGGAGCAAAGAGCGTCTCCGAGACCGCGACAGAGAGAGGGACAGGGATCGCAGCAGGAGCCGGTCTCTCAGCAGAACTCGGTCCAGAACCAGGAGTCGAGGTAATAAAGCAGATCTTAAATGTCACTCTTCTGTATGTTTGTCGTTCACATTATAAGATTTTCTTCTAGTTTCCTGAGAAATAATCTGTTTTAGTACAAGTTTGTTGTTTTTACTCATTAATTACTTGTGTTTATAAAAAAAAATCAGCAGACATGACGACTATATGTTGTGGGAAAAAAATTACTTAAAGATATTTAAAATCCGTTTATCAGGTTTCAGAGTCAGAGTTTCTTTATTGTCATTCGCACCTCATGTGGTACATGTGGTGGAGCGAAATTATGTACACGGGGTCCCAGTTACATCCAACAATAAAATGTCTAAGAAAAACAGTAATAACATCTAAGATATGAACTAAGAAAAACATCAACTAAATATACACTAAGCACTCATAACATAAAACATTGAACATCATGTTTAACATCAGGTTTAACATTTCCTGAGTGATATTTACCACAGACTCATGTTCGGGCTGCTGTTGTTACGCTGTATTGTTTTATTTATTTGTATTTAGCATATATCTTAGTAGTGTACAGTGTAGCGTTTGTTTAGCGTATATCAGTGTATGTCTTAGATCCTTATTTACTGTTGCTTTTTATCATTTATATTTTTGCTGTTTTTGGGTGTAACTGGGACCCTGGGTACATAATTTTGTTCCACCTCATGTACCACATGTGATGCGAATGATAATAAACTTGAACTTTTATCAACAGCTCCTCGTTGTTCTTTCTCCACAGATCGCGATTCAGGAAAGCCGAAGTATGATCACAACCGGGCCGACAGGTTGGAGAGCGGTGATGTCTACGCACCAACGGCTCTCGTTTCCTCTGCGGCCACCTCGCACTTCCCAGTGCCGACGCTCAGCAGCACCATTACTGTCATTGCTCCCACCCATCATCACAGCAGCAACACCAACGAGAGCTGGTCGGACTTCCACCCGGAGCCCCTCGTGGACCGGGTCCTTTTCAACCGGGTGCCGCCCCCTCAACCCAGGAAGAGATGCCGTGACTACGATGGTAAGAAAGGCGGCTCGGCTTTAATCTCTTCGGTTCTTCACGGTTCTTATACGCCTGTTGAAAGGCGGACGTATACAAGGCCGAAGTTATACAATACTTTACTTGTCGGGCCCCTGCTATATTACATTGTTGTGTACCATATTTTCCGCTGTAAACATCGCACTGCCCTATAAGTCGCATCAGTCCAAATATGTCTAATAAAGTGAAAAAATCCATAAATACGTCGCTTCGCCGTATACGTCGCTTCGCCGTATACGTCGCTTCGCCGTATACGCCGCTTCGCCGTATACGCCGCTTCGCCGTATACGTCGCATCTATTATGCGTCACCATTGACGCGTCGCGTTTGTTACGCGTCTCTGCTGACAACCCGGAAATGTGGGCCGAACCCGGAAATATGGGCCGGTGTTGTGCCAAAAATCGATTGACTGCTCCGGGCAGAGGATGGTGGCAGGCTATGGCAAGCTGATTGTGTAATTAATAGCCACTTTTACCTATTATATGATAAACGGCATGCCAAACTGCTCGAGTGCCATCTAGTGGCTGAAAATGATAGTGTTCAAATTTTTTTTCAGTTAGAATGAATGAAAACATCATATCTCAGCCAAAATTGGTTTATAAATATGGGGTAAAAAAACATAAATACATCGCTTTGGTGTATAAGTCGCAGGGCATGCAAATATGCAAAAAAACCTGCAACTTATAGGGCGAAAAATACAGTCATAGTTTGTCGACAGGTGTATAACGTACTCTTGATTTTATTGTATTGTATGGGTGGCTGTGGCTGAGTGGTTAGAGCAGTCCTTCAATTCAAGAGTTGGGGGTTCAACTCCACCAGCAGTCACATGCTGAAGTGTCCCTGGGCAAAACACTGAACCCCGTTTTTGCTTCCGATATGTGTCCCATCAGTGTATGATTGTGATATAAAGCATTGATTAGTCTCTTTAGAATGATTTGCCCATTAGCTTTGTATAGTTCTAGTAGAGTGCTGTATGAATGGGTAAATGAGGCACAGATTGTAGTGTAAAGAGCTTTGAGTGTCTTGATAAAATAGAAAGGAGCTATATAAGTACAGTCCATTTACCATTGTCGACTTTTACAGAGAAGGGTTTCTGCATGCGAGGGGACATGTGTCCTTTCGACCACGGGAGTGATCCGGTCGTAGTGGAGGACGTCAACCTGCCCAGCATCTTGCCCTTCCAACCTCCACCGATCCCAGTCGTGGACCAGCAGCCGCCTCCAGGACTTCCCCCTCCTCCGCCTCTCCTGAACCCCCCTCCTGTGAACCTTCGGCCCCCTGTGCCCCCTCCAGGTGTCCTCCCACCTAGTCTTCCACCTGTTGCAGGTAGGAGTTTGGAATTAGGCTCATGGTTCTTCGTTATGTTTAATTTCACTGAGAAATGTGTCAGGGTGAAGGTTGCAGAGAGCCTCGTGTGTTTGTGGAGAGAAGTTTTAGATGGAAAAAAGTCAAGTCAACTTTATTTATAGAGCACATTTAAAACAGAACCTGTTATCAAAGTGCCTAACAACAACAACAATCAATGAGAGTAAAATTAAAGAGAGAAAAAAATATTCAAGAGTTGGTCAGGTAACAGTTTGCATTCAGTAAAGGGAAAAAGATGGAACAGTGAGAATCATTAGCAACTGAGCGCAGTAAATAAACACATTTTTTTTTATTAATTGGTGTAGCGCTTTTTAAAACCAAAGTAGCAAAATGCTTTACATCGAATAAAAGCAAGAAACAATCATAAAATAAGAATCAACGCAACAAATGAAATAGAAAATCAATAACAAGTAGAGAGAAATGTCATTTCCTGTGAAAATGCATTTTAAACAACTTTTTGCCGAAGAAGCTGAAACCAGTTGAAAAGGCTTCATTGCTGAACTGTAAAATTTGAACAGCTGACATTTGCTAAAAACAGGAAAATAAAAGCATAAAGCAGCAGAAAAAAGCAAAAAATGTGTCAAAAAAAGGGCTGGAAAAAGCAGAATTAGCTGAAATCAGCAGAGAGACACTCAATAGAAGACATATTCTGAAATTAGCAGAAAGAAGCAGTAAAAGCTGAACCAGGACAACAGCTGAAAAGAACAGTAAAAGTTTTAAATGGCTCAAAGGGTTTGAAGAATGTGAAGAGAGCTTTGTTCCTATTTTAATGAAGAAAACATGGCCGACAAAGCTAAACGTTTCAAAAAGTAAAAAATAGAAACCAACAGATATGGAAATTTTGGCTATCATCAGTACCAGTATTGGGAGGGGAAGGCTAATGCTGATAACCAATATAATGGCTGAAAATCTTTTAGCTCTGTCCACCCCCAAGAATCTAAGTAAACAGCTACTTTTAAACCTGTTTTAACACTTGACGTCTTGAGTCTTCCCAACGTATGTTCACATTTTCTATCTTCCACTATTCACCATAAAATTATCAAGTGTGTTACATAAATTTAAATTACAGAAACAACCTTCCCTGTTCATTGTGTAATCAGTCAGTCACATATGGTGAAGACCTAATTAGTATTGACTGCAGCAGTGTTTATTTTATTTTTTTTGCAGAGAAGTAAAGATTTCAGACAAACAATGCATTTCTATTAAGGACGACAAAGATTACGTTACTGGTATATTTACCTCTACGTTAGATTTATTGTTCTGGATAAAGTTTTACAAGGCAATAGCCTATGCTAGGCGTTAGCTTGCGAACTTGAGAGGCACGTAGCTAATGACAAGCGGGTTAGAGGATTGAAGATAATTTATTATTGTTGATTTATTTTACAGATCGGTTAAAATAAACTTACCATTCTCTGTTCAACAAAATATGCAACACAGTATTGCTCCCTGCTTTGTTTGTACTGAAAGTGAAACTTAAGTGAACGGCCATGACTTGAAAGTAGTCTGCATGCACCCTCTGCTGGATACTTTGCACAATTATGGCTTTTGCAAGGAGGGACACGGCTCGTTCCCAGTGCTTATATTGGTACATAATGGGACAATCATCACCAATACCAATATGTCCTCAAACGCCTATACCGGCCTAGAATATCAGATCTATAAATATATTGGTCGGGCTCTAGGAAAAGCTGCACAAAGACCAAAAGTCATAGCAGGAATGTCCTGAACGGGCTGAACATTTTGATGTATGAATTGTTAAAATAGAACAAAAATTACTGATGGAGTTACGAGCTGAAAAATATTTGGTAGAAAATTGGATCTCAGTGATTCACAAACATTAAAACTCTGCAAAGTACTGAAGTAGTGTTGAACAGACACATTTTAACAGCAGGGCAGCTCTATGAATTGATTAATTTATTTCTGCAACTTGTTGCATTGATGTTTAATTTCTGTGAGGCAGGCCCTCCTCCTCTTCCTCCGCTGCAGCCCACCGGCATGGATGCTCCTCCCAACTCCATCCCCAGCTCCGTTCCCACCATCGTCACCTCCGGGATTCGCTCGTCGCTTCCTCAGGCCTCGGTGCCGCTCTTCCCCCCCGGTAAAAAAAAAAAGTATCAGCTTTTAAACTGCGGCGCTTCCTGTTTATAAACGGGACGTTGCGCTCAGCAGAGCGGCGCTGTGAGCTAAAGTGTCTCCTCTCTTGCTGGTCAGGACACTACGACTCAGATGTGTACAACCCGGAGGCTCCCAGCATCACTAACACAGCCAGGCCCATTTACCGCCACCGGGTCAACGCCCAGAGACCCAACCTGATCGGCCTCACCATGGGGGAGGTGGACCAGCCACCGAGAGGTACTCGAGCTTTAAGTACATCAGCCTAAATCCTTTTTTGTGTTTCGTGCTCATGAAATGTAATCTGTGTCCCTGTTTGACCCAGACAAGATTCCCAACAACAGCATGAGGATCGTCATGGAGTCCGAACCCAGGAAGAGGCCCACCGCCCCCCACGACGTCGGCCTGCCACTTAAGAAGCCCTGGTTTCACAAGTGAGTTGTAAAAACCAAACCGTTCACTCATGCGGCCGTTTCCTCCGACTGAGCGTCCCGTCTCTCTGCTCAGACCCAGCTTCAACCAGACCAACCATCAGGGCTTCCACAGGAGAACCCAGTTCTCCCCCAACGCAAAGCTGCTGGTTCGGCAGATTCCCCCCGAGCTCAACAACATCAGCAAACTCAACGAGCATTTCAGCAAGTTCGGCACCATCGTCAACCTGCAGGTCAGTTCCTGTGTGTGTGTGTGTGTGTGTGTGTGTGTGTGTGTGGGTGTCTGTGGGGATCTGTGTGGGTGTCTGGAGGTGTGGGGGGGGGGCTCCGAGCGCTGCTGGAGTTAAAACAAACAGCCGGGTTTTAATACGCCAACGGCTGCATGAATACAGGGTTTACTGAGGCGGAGACTTCACACAAGACAACATGATGTTTATGGAATGGACAAGAATTTATTGGAATAAAACTTCAATTTAAAATCACTAAAGGTTTAACAAGAATTTAAAAAAAAAATGGAGAAATATGTTTTAGCATATTAATCTTTACTAATAAAACCTGATTTCATTACTGTACACTGAGAGGAACCACACCAAGTAGGGACAAATGGGACATGTATGGACATATGGAACAAAATGGGGCATGCAGGGACAAATGGGACATGTAGGACAAATGGAGCTGGTATAGACAAATGGGACATGTTAGGGACATATGGGACATTCATGTTCTAGAATTGCGCCGCTCAAGGTGGCTGCATGTTGGAGCAGCTCTGTTAATTTCATTCTGAGATTTTGCTTTTGGAAACTTTAATTCCTCTTTTTCTGGATGTAAATCACATTTTTTGGATGATGGTTTCCTCTGGTATCAGATGCTGTGCAGCTGGACTGAAACTTTTTTTAGTTTTGGACATTTGTTATGATGCGTAACCATGGCAACAAGGCAGTTTTCTACAACCAAAAGCAGCTGATTAACATCTCAAAAGCTCAAATAATATCTCAACTACAACCCCAAATCTCCAATGAGTTGAAAGGATGTTCTGTGGATGCATTCTCATCTACCTGCCAGCTGTGCTGAGATCCTGGAACTAGCAGGAAACACGGCTCATGACAGCGGAAGGACAGGATCGTCCATCGGCACCTACAGTTGGCTGTCCGCAGCGATGAGGAGCTCGGCAGACTGCTGGGAGGAGTGGCCATCAGCTCTGGGAGGAGTTCTGCCCGGCATTCAGGCGGTCCTACAGTCCAGGGGAACCGAGAGGCCAGCCGAGTCTGGGTGGACGGATCGGACGGCATCTGCAGCCAGTTTCTTAGGATCCACTGTGGGATGGACCTTTACAAGAGATCCTTCCTGTCTACAGCCATCAGTATCTATAACATCTCTTAATGAGTTATAACAACAAATAATTTCCCTTTGGGATTAATAAAGTATTTTTGAATTGAATTGAATTGAATGTATGGTCATGTGGGACATGCAGAAACAAATGGGACATCTAGGGACAAATGGGGTGGGTAGAGACAAATGTGACGTGTTAGGGACGTTTGGGACATGTTAAGGACATGTAAGACATGTAGGGACAAATGGGACTTGAAGGGACAAATGGGGTGTGTAGCGACAAATGGGACATGTAGGGACAAATGGGGTGGGTAGAGACAAATGTGACATGTTAGGAACGTTTGGGACATGTTAAGGACATATAAGACAAGTTAGGGACATGTAGGGACAAATGGGGTGTATAGAGACAAATGGGGTGTGTAGAGACAAATAGGACATGCAGGGACAAAACGAGATATATGGTACATGTTGAGGACATGTTACATTTTATGGACATATGTCATATGTTAGAGATGTATGGGAGATGTTAGGGACATATAAGATGTAGGGACAAATGAGACATGTTATGGACATATGGGACATTTTATGGACATGAGACAAGTTGGGGACATTTGGGACACGCTAGGAACATATGGGGCATTTTATGGATGTGTTAGGAACGTTTGGGACATGTAGGGACATGAGGCAGATAGGGACATGAGGCAGATAGGGACATGAGGCAGATAGGGACAGATGGGAGAGGCTGGACGTGTGTTGAGGTTGAAATATTCAAGTTTTGTTCAGATTTGTTTGGATTTGGAAAAGAACCACAACAAAAAGAGAAGAAAAGTTTTAAAATTGTTCAAAACGTTTCTAAAAGTTGTCAGATTGTTGCAGTGATGTAATCTAATGAACATTAGGTCTTTAATTCTTTTGTTTCCATAAACTTTGGTTCAGATCTTCTCTCCTCCTCAGATAGAACAAAATGTTTAAACAGATGCAGCTCGTTTAAATTACCCTCACATTCCAGTTCATTCCATTAAGTTCACTTTCAAAGTTTCCGAAACTTCCTTTTCTAAACATTTAACCACATTATGTGTGCAGAGTGGTTTAGAAATAACTGTATCTCCTAACACAAGTTAAAAAAAACAACATTTTTTGTATTTCTGACGACCTAAAATCTTTAAAAAATGTTTTAAATAAAACGTCTGTTGGTGTTTTACAGGTGGCTTATCAAAACAACCCGGAGGGAGCGTTGATCCAGTTTGCATCTCCTGAGGAGGCTAAGCGGGCCGTGCAGAGCACAGAATCTGTTCTGAACAACCGCTTCATCGAGGTCCACTGGTTCCGTGACAACAGGAGTGATGGACCGGGTCAGTCCCGTCAGCCACAGCAGCAGCCTCAGCCGACTCCGGTAAACCACTTTAAAACGGTTATTCACGTCTAAACAGACCAAAATGTTGCCTTGTTTGTTAAGTCCACCATCGTGGAGAAAAAAGTGGGGGGGGACTGGAAATGCCTTCGTCTGTCTGTGCATGTTGCGAGCTGGATAACTTGAAAAATATGAGGAGCAGCAGCAGAAAATCAAGTTAAACCAAAGTGACAGCAGCTTTTATTTTTGTATGGAACAAATCATTTTAGCGCATTATCTCACACGGCTGTCGGAGACGAGTTTGTGACTCAAAATTGTGAGGAAATGATGAATTTTAATTTCAGTCTCTGAATTCTGAGTGTTCAAGTGACCGTCGGCCACATTTTGTGCGGCCAGTTTTGGAAAGTTCTGGCCTACGTTTGTGTGCACTGTTTGCAGAACTGTATCCATTATTCTGTTTCACACCTCCACTCACATCGTGCCGTCTTAGCTCTCCTTGGCAGCCGCTCCCAGAAGGTAGGTACATCTGGACCAGTTTTTTTTTTAATTAACCTGGACATTTAGGGCTGTAACCTCAAATGATGTCTGTCAGAGACTAAACTGAGAAGACTGTTGTAGAAAAAAAACTGATTCACAGACGATCGGGTGAAGACTTCATCAAATTTATTACAAAGCTTCGAGGAACAGCCAGATCCACGGAGAGTCCATGCGTCACAAGTACAGAACATCGTCATGCCTTGTCCTTTGCCCCAGGAAATCTGATCCGTTCCCACTTCCTGAAGTGAAATTATTACCTCGTAATAATAGGTCTGAGTTCAGCCCATGGGAAAAGGTCCAAAAGTCAGAGACGTGTGAGATGGCCCAACTGACAGAACTGTGAATAAAATGACAAAAAAAGGTTGAATCATTTCATCTGGACCAGTTTCTTTAAGGGAGAAAAGTTTCATCTTCCGTCTGGAAAACTTCATCAGTCTGGCAGGTCGCAGACTGATGAAGTCTGTGACGCTACCGCTGCAGGCATCCTTGTCACTGGGTTGTCGTACAAAAACAGCGTCTTTTATATCAGGGAGTCATTTTGATGGAATGGCCGATTTCCGATATTTAACTTTTAACACCAATATCGGCCGATACCATGCTGATAATATCGTGCGTCCCTAATTTGAACTTGAACCCGGCAGAGAAGTAAAGGAGGCGCAGAACGATCCAAGCTGCACACGCTGGGAAAATCATCAAAACGCAGCCGGAGCGTCACATAGAAATGAGCTTTTTACTGTCGCATTAGAGCGGGAGGGGACGTTTTCTGAACAAATATGTAGCTTTTATAAAAACTTGGTAAAATTTATGTTGGTCTGCGCGTCGCTGAGAAAAATGTAACACCACCTTCAAGATCGTCTTTGTGAAGCGAGGCGCCACACAGAAGTGCTTTGTTTCCTTCTCGACTCGCGTTTCTTTTGACATTTTTTTATGCTTTTATCGCTTTTTTTTTTTTTTTTTCCATCCGTCACCTGAACACCAGGTGTGCCTCGATCTTCAGCAGAGCTCAGTCCTCTCCGTGAGAAACCTGGAAGTCTGATGCAAAATGGAGACTTTAACTAAGATTTTCCCTCCTGTGCTCCCTCAGCCTTCAGACACATCTCTGAAGCAGTCTGTGAAGGACCGCCTCGGACCCCTGATGCCCGCCAACCCTGAACCCCCCCAGGATTCCAGCAGAGCCTCTCAGGTGCGTGTGGACGCTCTTCTTGTATTTACACGCCAAAATCCACACGGTGTGCCCAACGGTGGTTTATTTTGTCCTCTCTGCTTCTCAGAACTCCTCAAAGGTGTCGGTGAAAGACCGTTTAGGTTTCTCTGCCAAACCTGCAGCTTCTGCTGAAACGGTGAGAAACGCAGGAAGTCGTGTGTTTTTTATTTTGTTTAATCAAGCGAAACTTTGAAATGCGTTTTTGTCCCCTCCAGTCGCAGGTGTTCTCCACATCCACGGGCCTCACGAAGACCGTCTACAATCCCGCTGCTCTGAAGTCGACCCAGAGGAGCCCAGAGGACGCCTTGAAGAAGAAACAGGTGAGGCTCGGAGCAGGTGGTGCAGAGGACAGGTGGGAGGATGCAGTTCCTGATCGCTCCCTGTGGTTCCTCTCCCAGGAAGCCCTGAAACTTCAGCAGGACGTGAGGAGGAAGAAGCAGGAAATATTGGAGAAGCACATTGAGACGCAGAAGGTGAGAAGACTCTCTGGACGCTTTGGAGAAGAGGTCTGCAAGGCCACATGTGGCCCGTTGGCCCCTCTGCAGCGCTTCGACCAAAACAAATACCAAACTGAATTGTATTGGTTTTTATATTGACAACAAAAAAAGAGATAGTTTTAGCAGTTTTCCCGTCATTGGCAGATATTTGAACGATGACGCGTGAAGTTTGAGATGTTAAGAGCTCAGATTTGTTAGTTTTGGGAGTTTCAGAGTCTGAAACTCGTAAATGGGACAGAACTTTCTGGATCTGTCAAACATGTTGATTTCTTATGGATGGAGTTAAACATCGGTGAGAAAACTCAGGACCAAACTTCATCTGAGAGGAGACTTCTCTTTGTATTTCTGTGACTCAGCCAGCGGGCTCACCGTTTAGTTTAGAGTCACTGTGCTCGAGCGTTTGGTAAATAAAGCTCTCTTCTCCTGCAGCTCCTGATCTCCAAGCTGGAGAAGAACAAGACCATGAAGGCCGAGGATAAAGCCAAGATCATGGAGACTTTGAGCGCGCTGACCAAGAGCATCACCAAACTGCAGGAGGAGATAAAGGGGCTCTCAAGCTGCAGCAACCTGCTACGAACGGCCAAGAGCAAGGCCCAGGTGGGGTTTCATCAGCTCAGCACCGTGCCTAACAGAAAACAGGGAGGCTTCTGTTTTTATTCTTTTAACTTGATTTATTGTTTAGCTGCTCTTCCAGAGTGTAGTTACATTTGTTTACACACAGCAGTCTCTCTGTGTGTAAACTGTCTGTTGTCCGGCCCATAACTTCTGATCTGAAGGTTTCCATTTGTTTTTGACTCCCAGGCACAGAAGGATCTGCTGGATGCAGAGCTGGACCTGTATCAGAAGACCCAGGCCGGAGAGGACACCGCTTTGCTGAAGATCAAGTACACCAAGCTCCAGATCGAGGTGCAAAGTTAGACCCCACCCGGGGGCGCTGCCGTTCACTTCATCAGTTACCTTCTCATGATAATCGTCTCGTTTTCCTTCTCAGGCAGCTAAACGGGGACTCCTTTCACCGGGACGAGGCCGGGGACTCCACGGTCGAGGCCGCGGTGCACTCCGGACCCGGGGAAGGGGGTCCAGGGGTCGGGGGCGAGGTGTGCCACTGCACGTGGTCGTAGACCACCGACCTCGGGCGCTGGAGATCACCGGCTTCAGCGACGCTGACTGTGTAGACCTGCTTCCACACTTTGCTGTAAGGCCGTCTTAAACTACGTAAAACTACACATTCGTTCAAATATTTTGATTCTTTTTATTTTGCTCAAGAGATCTCCCACTTCTTGCACATCTTGGCCTTAATATGATAATTCTCTATTCTACTAAAAGTAGGGGTGCACCGATAAATCGGCCCCGATTTCCTTAATTTTGGGAAATCGGCCAATACTTGCATGAGAAACCGATTTTACCAAATTTTTTTTTTGTTTTAACAACAATTGTCTGAACTTCATTTATATTTCAGAGCACTACCTCATGGCCAGTTAAAACAAGTTTGTATTGTTTCTAGGATTGTTCAAGGGTATGTTTTTCAATAAAATAATGTTGTAAAATTGAAGGTGCATTGTGACCTTATAACACCTGACAGTGTCGCTTATAAAACAAAATATGAATCGGCAGCTCAGACTTTTTAGAAATCGGTGATCGGCCAGAAAACTGCGATCGATGCACCCCTAACTAAAAGTGGTTTGTGGCACATGAAAACTCATAATTAAAAATCGATAAATATTTATTACATTTTTCACCTGAGGATGTCGCCATTATTTTACCAGCCTATTGCATTCTGGGTCTATGACGTGTCACTTGTATTGGAGACTAAAACATCAGTGTTAAAAAGTTATAATGTGACAATAAATGTATATTTTGTTTTAGTCCTTATGCACAATACAAGGGTCAAAACGATAAAATGTGATCAACTTGTGATGTTTAATTTATTAGCTCTGGAGCTAACGTTAAACATACCATATCACTTTATTTATAAAGCACTTAAAAACAGCAACAAGGCCAGCTAAAGTGCTGTAGAACAAAAACAAAGAAGCAAAGGACACAGGATAAAATACATAGATCCAAATAGATAAAGATAAGAACTAAATGGCTAACATAGAATACAAAGTTAAAAGCCAGGGAATGAAAGTGAGTTTTCACACGAGACTTGAAAACTGTGAGAGAGGGAGCCTTCCTGACATGCAGTGGTAACTCATTCCACAGTTTTGGACCTGCAACAGAGAAGGCCCTGTCACCTCTGAACTTAAAACAAGTGCCTGGAACCAATAAAAGCATCAGGTCTGCTCACCTCAGAGAGCACCGTGGAACATATGGCTGCAGCAGATCAGCAAGCTAGGATACATGTATCTCCATAGCTAATGCTATTAGCTCTGTAACTAATGCTATACATATAGCTCCAGAGCTAATGCTATTAGCTCTGTAGCTAATGCTATACATATAGCTCCAGAACTAATAGCTCTGGAGCTAATGTCTGATGCTAACAGTATATAAGATAAGACAGAACTTTATTGTTCCCGCAGGAAATTGTTGTGCCAGAGTTTCAATAAAAAGGAACATACACAAGGAAGTACACAAGATATAAAAAAATAACAGAATTAAAAAAAAAAAAAAAAACTCCAGAGAATATAAAAATACCAACGATTAAGTTCTAAAATGGGTCAGGTACAGACAAAAACGTGAAAGTGTTTATTGTTGTGCTGGATTAATTTTTGTTGTCCTATGTATAGAAAGGGAAATGTACAATAAATATATATACATTAGCTTACATTACATTACATTACATTACATTAGGGAAATATACATTAGTTCTGGAGCCAATGCAAAAGTGCCGTCATCGCACCAGAGCTACCTGTCTGTCATTTACCCAGAATGCAGTGCAACAAACACAAAATGGCAGTGGTCTGTGTTTCAATCATTTTTAAAAACTAAAAAGCCTACAGCATTGTTACGGTCCCATTTTTATAGCTGAAGTAACCGTTTATTAAAATAAGGTCTGTTGTTCCAACCAGCCGGAGATTCTTTTCAAGCAGAAAAAATCAACGGTGCCCAAATTTATTTACAAAATAAAAGTCTTAAGACCAAGAAACGTCCCTTAGGATTTCTAATTATTCCTTTAAATTATCATTTTACATCGTAGAGGTTTTTTTTTTTTAAGTGTTTACAAATAACTGAAATGATCAGTTTCATGAGCAAGATTTATTATTTTTATCAATTTGAAGCAATTTGGAGAGATTGAAGACTGCCAGATGGATGAAAGCAGCCTGACGGCGGTCGTCTCGTACAGGACGAGAGCCGAGGCCGAACTGGTGAGTTTTTACGTTTTCACCAAGTTTTAAAAGCCGGAGCGGCACGGTGGTGTCCCGACTCACCTATCTGATGTTCGGTCCACCTGTAGGCGGCGCTGCACGGCTGCAGGTTAAACAACCAGACTTTACGCCTGGCCTGGCACAAACCCGCTCCCACCGTCAGGAAGACGGACCCCGAGGAGGAGGAGCCGCTGGAGGAGGAGGTTCGTGGCGGTCTCTTCCTGTTTCTTTTTAGACTACATACTGCACCAGCTCTTCACAACGTTCAGCTCATGGGACTTTTGCTTTTAGTAGTTTTTAATACTTTTTAGAATATTTAGCTTATAGTTTTATTTTATTTTTAATATATAAACGTCTTCAAATCATTTAAGAACTTTGTTCCCTATAAAGATCCACTGCAGCGCTCCCGCTCCATTTGGGTCTCCTTTTGCGTTCTTCTGTCCTTCTAGTCTGTTTTCTTTTGTGTCCTTTTTGTCTTTATTATGTCTCTCTTTGTCTTACTCTTAAGTGTCTTGTTTTTGTATGTCTCCTTTAGTCTTTATTGGCCCTTTTTGTCTAAATGCTTTCATTTGCCCTCTGTTTCCTTTTTGTGGTTTCTTTGTCTCCTTACTGTCTTTTTATGTCTTCTTAGGTCTCTTTTGTGTCTTGTGTGTCCTTTTAGTCTCATAATTCTTTCTATTGTCTTTTGTGTCTCCTTCTGCATCCCTTTAGTCTTTGTATACATCCTTTTAGTCCCATTTTGCTTTGTCTCGTTTCCTTCTTTGTTTGTTTGTTTTGCACCTGTTGTCTTTTTTATGCTTTTAGTCTCCTTTAGCTGTCCTCTGTCTTTTCACACACCTTCCAGTCTTTTTGTGTGTCCTTTTTGCATCCTTAGGATTTCTTTAGTCTTAAGTGGTTTTGTTTTTGTGTCTACTTTCATAGTTTTAGTGTTTAATGTCACTAGTTCTCTTTTATGTCTTCTCGTGTTTCCTCGTCGTTTTATGCATCACTTCTTATTTTTTGCCTTTTTGTCTCCTCAGTTTACTATTTGTCTTTTTGTTTTCCTTTGCATTCATATGCGTCTGTTTTTCTTTTCGTATGCCTCCTTATGCATGCTTTTGGTCTTTTTTGCCTCCTAAAGTCATCTTTGTGTCTACTTACCGGTATGTCCTTTAGGTCTCCCTCTATGCTTCCATTTGCCTCCTTTTGTGTCCTCCATGTCTTTTTCTGAATTCTTTATTCTTCTGTCTGACCGTCTGCTCCTAATATCTCTTCCTCTGTAGATTTTTTGACTAACATAAAAAGGGCAACGCTTATTTATTTTATTTTTTTCACCTTTTCATCGTTCTCTGGGCAAGTTTGCAGAAAATCCAAAATTTTTCTGATTCACTTTGCAGGAATCTCATCTGATATTGTCTCTTTCAAAAGTTTTCCTCACCGCGCTGTTTTTTTTTGATAAATATTAGTTTTAAAAACAACATTTAGATCTTGATGTCTCTCAGACACCAGTTTTCCTTGTTGGCCACTAGAGGGCGCCGTCTCACATCACAGCTCGTGTGGCTTTTTGTTTCCTGCTTGGATTTTTTAAACCGATGCAGTTTTACTTTTTTTTACATTTGAATCATCTGTAACATCTGGAGCTTTGTTTTCTTCACCCAGTACCCGGAGGAGTCTCTGAGCGACGACGCCCTGCTGCAGGATGATGACGAGGAAGACGACGACAACGAGCCTCGCCCCTGGCGCAGATGAAGCCGGCCGGGCGCTCTCTGCTGGTTACACCGGTGTGGACGTCGAGCAGCCATCCTGCACCTCTACCCGGAGCTCGTTTATGAATAAACGAGGCACATTTTGCTTTGGCTTTAGACTTTTGTTTTCTCTCTCTCTTCGTCTAACACGTGTAACACGCAGAAGGACTTTAGTTTCATTTTAAATTGTAAACCAGATGCAAGAGTGCTGAACTTTTTAATGCTCTTAACGTAGAATTTAGTTTTTGTTGTCCTCAGAATGCAAACCGTTTGTATGAAGATGTAAAAGTTGATCACTCACAGATTTTGTTTGACTCGGTTTAAAAAAAACACAAACTGTTGTTATTAAATTGTACAAAAAAAATAAAGAATTGAAATGGTCTGAAAACATCCTGCCAAAAACAAACCAAAAAAAGGTGCAAAATTAAAAAAAGATGGTGGCAGTAAAAAAAAAAAAAGAGGCTTGTTTGAAAGAGCAGAAAAAAGACCATTTCAAAAAACAAAAAAAATCTTCTTTTTCACCTAAAGAGCAGAATTCCTCAAAATCCTCATTTTTTTATTTTTAACATTTGGATTGGTAAGGTAACCAAATACCTAACATGTCACGGTAAGATAAAACATTTATTTTGACATATTTGAGTTGTGCACGTTGTCTGACTGTTTTTTCTGTTGCAGCGTCGTCCATTTCCTCTGCCGTCAGCACGTCAACATCCTCTTCACTTTTATTTAAGTTTGTGTTAAAAGTTTGTGTGTTTTTACACTTTGACTGATTCTGTAATACAAATTATTTTTTTTACAAATTGAATTCTGTTGGTCTTTGTGTGTTTTTGTTTGAACAGATGAATGAAACGATAAAAATGCACAAAACGGCAGAAACAGACGAGAGCGGTGAGTTTAGAGAATTGTATTTAAACTTTTTCTCTACTTTTCATTATAGTATTTTTTTTTTATTTTGAGGAAAGATTTGTAATTTGAAATGCTCTTATTTTTTGTCTCTTTGCTTTTTGTTTCGGGTAATCGTTTTGTTATTTTAACTTCAAACATTAAGATTTTTTCTGATCTTGGGTTCCTCCGGTGCCACAGTTTGAGGACCATGAATGAACAGCAGTAGCTAAAAGTAACAAAACACTAGTTAAAAGCTGTACAATGTTAGCTCAAAGCTAGAAGTAGCAAAACGTTAGCTAATGGTAGTAAAATACAGGCTAAAACTAGAAACAAGCTAACTAAAAATAGCACTATAAAACCAAGCCAAAAGCAGAAAAAAAGGTAGCTGAAATCAACAAAACACAAATTTAAAGAATAATGGTAACTAAATGTAGCAAACTGTTGGCTAAAAAGTAATGAAAGGCTGGTTAAAAGTAGTAAAACATAAGCTAAAAGCAGAAATCAAGCTGAAAGTAGAAAAATGATAGCTGAATGTAGCAAATGATTAAGTACAAAAATAGCTAAACTTAAACTAAAAGTAAGAAAAGGTTGGCTACAAGTAGCAGAACGATAGCTGAAAGTACCGGTAGTAAAAAAAGGCTTGATAAGAGAAGGCTAGCTGAAGTCTACTTAAAGTAGCTAAAGTCTAGGTAGAAGCTGAAAGTAAAAAAGGCTACATGAAAGCAGCAAAACTCGAGTTAAAATAAAGAATTATTGCTAAATAAGCAAACTGTTGGCTTAAAAAATAGCTAAAGGATAGCTGAAAGTAACAAAAGGCTGGTTAAAGGTAGTAAAACGAGATAAATGTAGGTAAAATGGCAGCTGACAGTATCAGTTTGCTAAAGGGGGGGTGGGGGTGGGGTGGGGGGGTCTGGTCCAGTAGCAAAACCTGGGCCAAGAAAAATGATAGCTAAAAGTAGCAAACGATTGGCTAAAAAATAGCAAAAGGTTGGTTAAAAGTAGCAAAACTAAAAGTAGAAGAGGGGTAGCTGAAAGTATCAAAAGGCTAGCTACAAAGTAGCAAAATTTTAGCTGAAGTAGCAAAAGGCTTGTATAAAAAGGCTGCTGCTGGATTAAAGTAGCAAAAGACAAGTTAAAAGAAAAAAATGCTTGCTCAAACACGAGCTGAAAGTAGAAAAAGCGTAGCTGAAAATAGCAAAAGGTTGCTTAAAGTAGAAGACGGGTAGCTGAACGTAGAAAAGGTCGTCTAAAAGCACAACACTAGCTGAATGTAGTACAAGATTAAAATACAAGTATTCTGAAGCAGATTTGAAGAAATGAGTTTTGCAGAAATAGTAAATTTTCATGGTTTGAAAATTTGCATCGGGTATAAAAACGCCATCTCCCGAATGAGCCGAACATTTAGATTTTTGATCAGCTAAAGCGACAAAGTGCAGAAGAAGTAAGATGGCAACAAATAAAGAAAACTGACGGTGAATCAGCCGTCGTACGGTTTAAAAGTAGAATTCAGTTTTAAACAAAGTTGTCCTACTATCAGTTGGCACTCGGTGCACGTGTTGTGAACGACTCTCAGCTACTACCACACCAACTTTAGCTCAGTGTGGGTAACGGAGTTACAGATGTTTGTGTTTGCTTGTGATTCTCTCAGATTCATCCAGTCGTTCATCAGATATTTTGCTAACAGACACCAACAAATCCATTATCGCCCTCTATTATTATAAAAGCAGAAAGGTGTGATGTTGTTCAGAGTGGCCTGAAATAAGGAAGAACAAATAACCCAATCAGTGAGAGGCGGTCGGCGGGTTGTGGGCCCCCTCCCGGCGCCTGTCAGCCTCACAGAGATAATTGTGAGGAATCAGATTTGCTCTTGTAAAATATCTGTTGTTCATCACTTCAACCCCCCCCCCCCCCCCCCCCCCCATGAGCCATACCAAAAATACTTTCCCTCATCTCTTTGTCTGCCGGCGGTGGTGCCAGGGTGTTAAATGCCCCCTCCTGCCGCCTCATTTACCCACCGCGGTGCCACCAGACCCAGAGCGCCGCCAGGTTCTGGTTGGACGAGCTGCAGTTTTAACTGGGGAAACCCTGGAGGTTTCATCCGTCTCATGACGTCGATTACTGCCCTTTAATTTGTTTGATGAAGAATAAAGGTTTGGGGGTTTCAGCCCATCTTCAGTAGAACTTCGGACCATAGCCCCCCCCCCCCCCCCCCCAACCCTTTTGGATCTCCGCAGGAAAGAAACGTTCATGTTCTCAGCACGAGCTCTGAAAATACGGGATAACGAGTTTACAGCGTCTGTGCCATCAATTACAGAAATCCTTACTTTCTGATTTGTGTCAAAGAGACAAATGGCAGGAAGTTCTGGAATGGGCCGAAGGCAGAATCGTGTTGGTTTGTTCGGACCGTTAGCAAAATATCTCATGAATCAGCCAACAGATTTAAATCAAACTTGAAGAAAGTAATCGTTGGACGTACATCTACATCTTTGAAGTTAACCCAATTCAAGATGGCCACCACAGTCTGTTTAAAAAAAAAAAAAAGATAACTTTAGTTACAATGAAGTGCTAACACAGTGGTCTTCATTTAAAACTCATCAGGTTTTAATGTACCGGTAAATAACATTTTCTTCATAATTTAAATTATATTTTGGTGACAACCGTGTTAGTTTTATTTATTTTTTTAGGCTTGAACCTCGATGAACGAGTCACTTCTCTCTACAGAGACAGTCAGATGTGGGAATTACCGTAAATACTAGAAAAGCTGCGCCACCTAAAATTAAATGCCGCAGACTGTCAAGAAGCCGCAACTCATAAAATAAATTATCCAAAAGGTTACAATTGCTGCACCGCCTAGAAATGAATTACCGTAACTGTAGAAAACGCTGCTTTACCTCAAATGAATTACCGTAAATAGTCAAAAACCGGTGCCACTTAAACCAAATTTCTGTTGTTGTTTTGGCTGCTTCCTTCAGCAGGGGCCACCACAGCAAGAGAACTTGCATGAAAGATTTAGCAATGGTTTTACACCGGCTGCTCATCATGATTTAACTGGGCTTGAACCCACAACCTCGGCACTGCCAGACCAAGCTACCGCAGCGCCATAAACGACTTTATCGTAAAGGCGAGAAAATCTGCGCCACCTAAAATAAATGACCAAAAATGGTTAAAAGCTGCGCGACATAAATTGAATTACCATAAATGTGGGGAAAGCTGCCCTGCCTAAAATAAATTATCCTAAACTATCAAAAGCTGCGCAACATAAAATTAATTAATTTAAATAATGGAAAAGCTTCTCTGCCCTAAAAAATAATCGTAACAAACTGTCAAAGCGGCACATCCAAAAACAGAATTACCGTAAATACTTGAAAGGTTGCACCATTTAAAACGAATTACCGTAAATGCTAGAAAAGCTGCGACACATTATGTTTTGCTCTAAATGTTAAGAGTTGTAGCACAAACTAAAATGAGTTTGGAAAAACTGCTCTGCCTAAAATTAACTACTGTAAACCATCAAAAAGCTCCACCACCTAAAACGAAAGGCCAAAAAAAGCATAAAATATTCTACCTTAATTGTTATAATTGCTACAACGTCTAAAACGAATTAGAGCTGCAGCCTGTCGGCGAAAAGGTTGTGTGACGTCCCGGCTCGTTGTGGACGCTACATAAAGGACAAAACCCAGAAGTTTGTTTAAAAAAAACAAGTGACAATTTATTTTTACTGTCCCAGTACAAGACAATAAACAAAACACGGCAATAAACTGCGTTCTTCACAACAATGAACTGAAAACAGCAAGAAAAGTGAAAAATCCAAAAGAAACAAAATGCACAACCCCAGCTAGCAAAGTTGAGAAAGTAAAACAAGTTGCACAACAATAAGCAGTAAATCTCTCCAACAAAGTGTCTTGGCTACAAACGTCACAACATTATGGATCCAAAAGCAAGACAGTGTTGGAAACTGCACATGGAGCACAGCAGCCCTGACTGAAGGGTAGCGCTGCCTTTTAAAATCTCCCTCTCATTCAACTGCCCTCCTCATGGGCAGCCGCTGTTGGATGGACGGTGTTGTCCACGTCTCCTGCAGCCAATCATCTTTGGACAGGTAAGCCTTGGAAGCCAGCCAACAGCTGGAAACTTGGGAGGCAGTACAGTCCTGTAGCCGTAATGGGTTGTATGAGGACAGCAGGACAGTGGTGAGATGTGCAGTAGGAGTGAAAGATAGCTTCAAGGTGGAGGTGGGAGTGCATCAAGGATCGGCTCTGAGCCCCTTCTTGTTTGCTCTGGTGATGGACCGACTAACAGATGAGGTCAGGCAGGAATCCCAGTGGACTATGATGTTTGCAGATGCCATTGTGATCAGTCACGAGAACAGGGAACACAGGTGGAAGAGAACTTGGAGAGGTGGAGGTATGCACTTGAAAGAAGAGGAATGAAAGTCAGCCGTAATAAGACAGAGTACATGTGTGTGAATGAGAGGGAGGCCGGTGGAACAGAGAGGCTACAAGGAGCAGAGGTCAGAAAAGGTGCAGGACTTCAAGTACTTGGGGTCCACTGTCCAGGACAATGGAGAGTGTGG